CCGAGCCCCTCGCCTCTCCTCCGCGCCCGGGGCCCGAGCCCGGCGGACTCCGAGCCCCTGTGCACCCATTTGCGTCCGGAAAACGACCCCGGAGGACTGGCACCCCTCTCCACACCTCCGCGCCCGGGACCGATCCCGGCGGACTCGGAGACCCTCTCTGGACATCCGCGCCTGGGGTCGGCGCCGTGGTGTATTGACGTTTCGCCACTCCATCCTCTCCCCGCCTCCGGACGCCTCCCCGTCTCTAAATGGAATTAGTGGAGCGCGGAGCCTCGGGTGTAACGCACAGACATGATCCATGGACGCGCCGTGTTGCACAGTGAGTACCCGCCGCTGCGCCCTCCGTCCGCCCCGCTGGTGGCCGGCGCCCGGGCCCTGCAGTCCCCTCCGGGCGCGCGGAAACTTTGTGGCTTGCAGCATCCCAGCTCGGGCGTGGGGGCGGCGCGCAGGGCCATCGGCTTTTCGGGCCAGCACTTACGGGGGTGTGAGTCGAGACCGGGCTTTGGGTGCACGTGCGGAAAAAGGCTGGGAAGAGGAGGAGAGCGGGGTCGGTACTTCCGTGTGAGCCTGGGACCCCTGGTTTCAGGAAGTCGCCATTGACACTCCAGGGGGTCCTTGAACCCTCCTACCCTGCGCTGGCGCGGAGGCCAGTGGCCAGCTCTGCTCTTTTTTGGGTCCCAGGACCTCAAATGTTGCTTTAAGAGTGCGGTAACGTGTAGCGTGGAGAGCAGAAGGAACTGGAAGGAGGCAGCTGGCAGGAGGCTGCTTATGTCTGAAAGCTCGCCTGTGAGGTGGGGATTTTGACAGGAAAGCTGGGATCAGACTTACTCCAGCGCCAGGCCAGGAGGGGACCGGCTCTGAGGCTCTCACTGCGCCTTCTGAAGGTGCCTTCAGCGCTCAGGTTGGGAAAAATGGAGTGGCGGGGTTTCTCTAACCTCCAACACCCACCTCAACAGGTTAAAGGAGCCTTCTTACCTGAGTGCTCTTCTCTGTAGACTTAGGCGAAGTTAACAAAGATACTGCTTTTACCTTTCAAAAGCGAACACCTGACCACAGAGAAGGGTTAGTGTGAAAGCAGATGGGTGGCCTAAAGACGCTCGCCTTTGCTTCTCCAGCCTAACGCAGCCCAGAACCACAGGCAATACTAATCAATGTAATTGAAACATCTTCTCAAGTACTCACATCAAGGCCCAGACAAATTTGGCATCGCATCAGAGCAGGCATTTTTGAGCTCTTATTTCGCGTGGGATATTACCCCAATTCTGTTCTCCAACAACCCCCCCACACACACACACCCAGACACACACTAGTTTTGAGTGTAAATGTAATTATTCGCCTAACAGAACTTAGAACCTTCTTGTGATTGAGCAGCAAAAATAAAATTCCGAAGGAAAAGCCAGAGATTGTTAAGTAGATAGACTTGATTGCTTTTCTCAATATGTTAGTGTGCTGTCCAGAAGGTTTGCAGAGGCCAGAATTCGTCAGGGAGGAGATTGTCCTTCTGTTGCCCTAGAACCGCATACCTTGAGGGTAGCAGCACAGTTCCTTACCACTAGGCCACCAGAGCTCCCTTTTCTCAGTACAACCTTTGTGAGCAAATAAGAAAATGGACATGAGATTGAAGTGCAGATTCTAACGGTCCTAACAGATTTACTGTTAAATCACAGGTCAGGTTCTCTTTTTGTTACTAAAAATCTGATCCAGACAGACATGCTTGTAGAAATGAGTTTTCTTTAAAAAAAAAAAAAAAATCTAGGTCTGGAAAACACTGAGTATTAAGTCCAGTTTAAGTTTGGGGGACATTAATTTTGTGGCTTAGTACTCAAGACAGTGTTTACTTGGTAATTCTGTTCATTTTTATAGTGTGCATTTTTATAATGCAGCTTAATGCCTTCAATCCAACTTAATCTGCCCGACACCCTCCCCACCCAAGAGGATTTGCCCAAGTGTTCACTTGACAAAGGCACCCACCGCGGCTGTGTAGTGATTGCGTATCCCACCAGGCCCAGAGCCCCTCTTCCCGTGGTCCTTCCCTGGTGCCTCTGTGTGTGCACTCTGTCCTCCTTGGAGCTTGCTCCCAGGCGATCCTGAACTCCCACTTGTCTGGCTTTAGTAAATTACACTGTAACCAGAGAGTTGCTCACTCCCCACATCTCCCTAAGGGTTTGGGTCTCAACCTTCACAATTTCTGTTGTTCCTTAAACAGCCCTAATGTTTTGTGTGTAATTCCACTCCGGTTTTCACATTGCAGGTTACTTGGAACAGAGAAAGTTTTCCCACTCTGATGCTGTTTTTGTTTTTAAATTTCATTACTTTCTCATTCAACTTGACTATTGCGGTGTGCACTCATTTTCTCTTCCTAATGTGTTTTCTGTTTTCAGTTGTAGCAAGTTTAATCATCCTTCATTTGTCTGGGGCAACCAAGAAAGGAACAGGTATGTTTCTTCCAGCAAGTGGGAGTGGAAAAACCTCTAGAACTATTTTGCATTTTCCTGTATTTTCCAAATTCTTATTGTTTCAGACTATCTGGAAATCTCATAGTGTGTATAATTGATTGGTCTTGACTAAGATAACATTTAGAAATTAATTTACTAATGGAAATTATAAGAATGCCCTATTTTTAGTTTTATAGAAAATTGGATGATGGCTCTTTATATATTTTTTTTAATATATAGAAAAGCAAGCCACCTCAGAAACGCAGACGACAGTGCAGTGCGGAACGTGGACGAAACGTGCGGACGGGGGTGCTTTTACCTCTCCCAACTATCCCAGCAAGTACCCCCCTGACCGGGAGTGTGTGTACATCATCGAAGGTGAGGGGGCAGGGGAGAGGCCTGGCCAAGCACCAGGCCACGCTGGCCCTTGCTCCTGCTTGCATGGCAGGGTGCTTAATAGACATTACACATATTGGTGTGGGAGCTCATGTGCACGAATACCTCCAAGTGATCCAGAGAACTGTAGAATCTGGAACCAAGCTCACAGTCGACATTACTAGTAATGGATTATGAGCAAGTAGACTCTGGGGAATAAAGACAAACCTACAGCTGTGGACATTCCTTTTGCAGTTAATTTATTCAGAATTGTAAGTAGAGAATGGGTCTATACATATATATGTGTGTGTGTGCGTGTATACGTTTATTTACACCTATTTTGTATCTGTAAGGTTCTGTGCCTTTGAAGGGGAATCTTGGTGGCCTAGTGGGTAGGAAGTTGAAGTCTCTGTTCTCCATATAGACTATTAAAGCTACTGCTACCAAGTGGATTTCAGCCCCCGACACACCCCTAATGAGTGTCGTTGGGTTGTAACTCATAATGGACACAGTCGGCCTCATTTCCCCTCAGAGTCTCTGGTGGACTTTTTTGTTAGTAGTTCATCATGCAGCCTTTAGTGCCAGAACCAGACAGAGAGAGAATGCTGTAATTGTTATGTACCATTGAGGTACAGCCACCCCGCCAGTGGGTATTCAGAGGCTGGATGTTGTGTGGGAGGAGATTGCCCATCTTTCTTCAGTAGAACCACTGATGGGTTCGAACCCCGTTCCTTTGTGTCAGCAGCTCCAGTAAGCCAGCAGAGCCCCTAACACGCCTGTGTGCGGTAGAAATGAAGTGGGTGACAGCTGAGGAGCCGGGTCATTCTATCCCCTTGATCTGTGAAAGCATGGGAGTTCTCTTCGAGACACTGGCTGGTGTGCCTATGGAATGATTGTTGTTGTTGTTATGTGCCATCGAGTCGCTTGCAGCTCATAGTGACCATATATATAAGAGCCCTAATCTCTGCTCTATCCTGTGCCAACCTTACTGTCTCTGACACACCCACTCCCATTGCCCCAGTCACCAAATCAGTCATCTCATTGAGGGTCTTCCTCTTCTATGCTGTCTCTACACTATCCCAAATATGATTACTCTCTCCAAGGACTATTTCCTCCTTGTAACATGCCCAAAGTATGTCAGACGAAGCTTCAGAATCTTTGGAATGATTAAGGTAGAGAATTAATAAGATAGTTTGATGAGGGAGTAGTTGGAGGAAAACAAGAAGAAAGAAAGTATTGTAAAAGATTCAGTAAATACTATTGAAGAGCTGAACTAGAAAAGGAATGATGAAACTGGAAGAAAAGGAAGAAATTAGAGGTATTTATGAAGCAGAATTTTACTGGATTGGACATGAGAATATGAACACAGGGAATCCTAGAGGCCGTCTAAAGATCTTAGGTTTGTGAGTTATTAGATAGAGTTGTCAAGAATGAAGAAAACAGGTGGAGAAAGAAGATTTAAAGGAGAAACGACGTGTTAAATTTTAATGTTGATGAGTCTGCCAAAGAGAGTTGTGCGCCATCAAGTCAGAACCCACCCTTAGCTGACCCGCCAGTGGGTTTTCAGAGACAGTGAATTGCACGGGAGGAGAATGCCCTTTGTCCTGTTGAGCAGCTGTACTTGAACTACATACCTTTGGGATGGCAGTGCAGCTCTTTACTACTAAGCAATCTCAGTGGATCTTTAGACCAGTGGAGAGTTCCGAAAATTGATGTGTAAATTTTAAACAGAATGATTATTGTTGAAGTTGTTGCAGATAAAATGATCCTGGAAGAGTATTTGGAGCCCTGCAACGAGGGCTTTTTGTTGTTTTCTGTTTGGGGCCTGCCCTAGAGTTCTGACTTAGTTGGCCTTGGATGGAGCTGCAGGCATTATTTTGTTATAATTGCTCTGCAGGGAATTCCAGTGGCAGCCAGAACAGTGGTCTAGAGCGAGAGTGAAACAAACTCTGAATAAACAAAACGAAATGAAACCGAACAGAACATTAGTGCTATTGAGTTGAGTTGATGCCGGCTTATGGCGACTCTCCTTTGGGTTTCAGAGTCTGCAGATCTTACTCCTCCAAAGCATCTGGTAGGTTGAAAATGCAGGCCTTTTGATTGCAGCCCAGCACTACACGCAGTGTCACCAGGGCTCATTAAACATAGACTCCTAAACCCAAACCCACTGCTGCCAAGCTGACTCCAGTTCCTGGTGACTGTCCATTGGGTTTCTGAGAGAGTAAGTCTTTCCGGGAGGAGAGAGACGGCCCTTCGTTCTTCCACTAGTGAAGTCAAACCTCTGACTTTTCAGTAAGCAGCACGGCATGTAACACACTATATTCTTTTAAAGATAATTTAGCAGTCTGGGAAATAACATTAAGGGATGAGCCGAGTAGGAGTAAGACTTGAGAAGGAGAGGCCCAGAGAGATGGAGAGAGAATGAGAGCAAAGGTGCCCCACAGGGAGTAATGAACAATGACCATGCTCATTGTTTGAGTATAGATAAGGAGGCACTGGAAATGCTTCCCTTCAGGCAATTGGGAGGCTCCCTTTAAAATTAGGTCTGGAGGAGCCAGTTCCCAGGGCTTGATGTGAAGAAGTGGCTGGTGGGCACTGAAGCTCTGGGAAAGCAAGAGAAGGAACTGTTTGCTTGCTTCCTCCCCTCGCTCTTCCCCCACTCCCTGTCCTGTGTCCTCCCTCCCCTCTTCCTCCTTCCCTCCTCCTTTCTTTCCTCCCTCCTTTCTCCCTTCTCCCTCCCTTCTTTCCTTCCTTCCTTTCCCTCTCCCTTTAATCCTTTTTCCCTTTTGTTGAGATAAATTGCACCAGTTTTAATTCTGCAGAGGACAGTGTTCACATGGTGAAAAGTAAGATTAAAAACATATGAGGAAGAGGGAAGACTTCTTAATCTAAGACAAGTTGGAGTAAATGAGTAAATGAGTCAGATGAAGGGCCTGCCATGACAAGAATAGCCGTTTTGTATATTCAAGGTGGGCTGACAGTTCTTCCAAATTAGATGCAGACTTCTGTCTGCTAGAGCACATTCAGATGAGAATGCTCATGGCTCCATTCACTGACCAGGCTCTCAAAGTATTTGGGTGAGTGACTTTGAAATGAAGTCTCTGTTTTAGAAAATAAGATAAATATCAAGACATTTTGATGAAAGAGGGCAGTGGAATATGAATGGAGACATTCAGAGATAAAATGACAACAAAAAACCAACTAAAAAGTTTAAGGATTTGGACCTAGATCACGTCAGCGCATTCCTGTGTGCTGGAAGTTAAGACTGGTCACAGGAGGCTGCTTTGTGGTCAGCTGCCTCTCAGAATGCCCACGGTGTATTTTACCTTAAAGTCAAAGGCTCACGTGCATTATACTTAACGTTTATAAGGAGATGAACTTTGTAAGCAAATCAGTATAAAATAAAAATTTTATGCTTTTTAAAAAAAGTTTATAAGGTGCTGAGACTCGAAATGATGTGGAAGAAATGGGGAGTAAAGTCTGTCCTGAGCCAGTGCTCAGGAAAGTCAGTGCTTAAAGGCCTATGTGTTCAAAGTTTATTTTAAGGATTACTATTAGGTATTACTAACAGGTTTTTGATGATATGAACATTGAAGAGAGAAGGTAAGAACTCTTGCAGAGCAATCAAGAAGCCTTTATTTGACATGAGTGTGTATCACAGATGTCCGCAAATGGACCATTGACCGTAACGTGGGTATCAGTGCTAATGGTCTCCCATTCTTTGGGATCTTTTTAAGGTACAAATTTTTAAAAAGTTTACAAATCTAAAGAAACTACACAACTGTAGGTTTAAAGAAGTGAGGGAGTACACTGTCAACACAAAGGTATATAGTTCAAATCCATCAGCTGTTCCATGGAGAAAATTGGGCAATCCCCTTTTAGGCAATTTACTGCCTCTGAAAACCTATTGGAGGGCCCACCATGGGTCAGTTCTCACTTGAAGGTACACAAGAACAATAAGAAGCAGATTTAGAATTTAGACCTTTTGGGTTGCATCCTACCACTTCACACACGATGCCATCTGGGCGTGGGCCTCTAGGGCCAGACCCACTGGCATTGATTTGTTCCCAGCTCATGGCCACCCTCTATTGGGGACCATACTTTCCAGATAGATTAGAAAGCATCTGGAAAACCGCTTGTTTTCATACTTGGCTACGAACTAAAAAGTGATGGTTTCCCCATGAGACAAGGTTACTCTGTCACAAAGGGTTACTATGAGTCAAAAGTGGACTCAGTGGTACCTGGAAAGAATGATGTAGCTCCTCTGGGTGTGTTGGCTGAATCTGAGTTGTAATGCCAGGGTTTTGAACTGGTTTTGGCGTATCAGTGGAAGAGTGGACAATCATTGGCTAGTATGTCCACGTGGTGGTGTCCAGGGTTTCGTCCTCACTGTGATCCATGATCCTCTCCAGAATTAGGGAAGACAAGCTTATTCATAATCACTCAGCAGAGATGTTGAGAAATACCTCAGGACATACACTAAGTGTTGAGGGAAAAAAAGACAGTAATTGTTTCTTCTCTTACATGGATACGTGTAGAAAGGAACACTTCTTTCAACAAGATTTTTCTGGGTAAATGGGAGTTCAAAGAGTTGGAAGTATATAGCTACTCCTGAAAGTAGGAAGGTATGGTAGCTGAAAAGCATACTATTTTAGAAGAAAATGACCTGTTAGGAAGAGCGGAACTTGGTATATGAGCAGGTCATAAGATAATCAGAAGTGTGCTTTGTAGGGTGCCTTTTAAGATGGTGTATTGTTGATGTGAGGTACTTTCAAAGCAATCAGTTCTAGCTTAGAGTGACCTTATGTATAACACTGCCAGGTCACGCACCATCCTCACGGCTTCAGACCATTGTAGCCTTTATGTCGATCTAGTTCACTGAAGATCTTTCCTTTCACCCCAACTCTCTATTTACAAAGTACGATATCTTTCTCCAGGACTGGTCTTTCCTGATAAGGTGTCCAGTGTGTGTGAGGAAGTCTCCCTAGTTTTGTTTCTAAGGAGGATTCTGGCTACACTGCCTGGAAGGATGTGCTTGTTCTCTTGACATTCTGTGGGACATGAGATATTCTTTGTCAACATCACAACTCAAAGGCACCGGTTCATTTGGTCTTTCTTACTCAAGGTTCAGCTTTCTCATATATACATATATGAGACAACTGGATCATACGAAGGTCAGGTTGACTATTTGACCCTGTAGCTCTGAGAGAGTAAAGGAATACATTTAAACCTGAAATTGATGTGCTAGGCTTTGTGTTCTTGAAAATTCCTTCTTCATGTCTTGTCTTCTGCACTTTGATCTAAACAAGATGTGCGCTTGGAACAATTTGAATGTTTATGGGACTCTGTACTCCAGAGGTTTCTGACCTCACCTTTAGTTTATCCAGAAAACGTGGAGAAACTGACAGACAGCTCTGGATTAGTCTTTCACAAGACTGGTATGATAAGTTAATAATTTGTCAGACATGGAAATGGCCACTTAACTAGCAGAATAATAGTTTGTGGAACCTCATCCGGACCCTGAGGACATTTTTAGACAATTAATAGACCTGACAATTCTGGTCATTGTCCGGGGCTTTCTTTGCCTTTCCAAGACCAAAATTTGCTGGAAAATGTATAGAGACCATCAGGAGTAGAGTCTGAGCAATTAAAGAGTAAACAAGTAAGCTCCTAAACATGTTCCTCTTGTCTTTCTTTCAGCTGCCCCAAGACAGTGTATTGAACTTTACTTTGATGAAAAGTACTCTATTGAACCTTCTTGGGAGTGCAAATTTGATCATATTGAAGTTCGAGATGGACCTTTTGGCTTCTCTCCAATAATTGGACGTTTCTGTGGACAGCAGAACCCACCTGTGATAAAGTCCAGTGGAAGATTTCTATGGATTAAATTTTTTGCTGATGGAGAGCTGGAATCAATGGGATTTTCAGCTCGATACAACTTCACACCTGGTAAGTGAGGGCTTATTTTTCCAGTAATATCTTTTCCTTTCTTGAGCCTTCTATCTTCATAGTGCAGAAGCTTTTGTGAAGCAGTCTTATACCTTTCTTAGAGAATTTCCATTTCTGTTTGAAACCTGTCTCTTCTCTTCATAAATTCTAAGAAAAGAAAAATAAAAGAGAATATCCCCTGAAAACCTTGCTACATTTGAGATAAAGCACAGTGACTTAAGGGTCTGCGTGGTCATCAGAAATGCAATTAATTAAATAGACATTTATTATTCTGAAATAAGTAATTTGAGAGACAGGCTATAATAAAGAAACTAATTATATGGAGAGTCCCAATAAATTTGAAAGGCAATTGTAGGATTGTAAAATGTATCCATCAAAATGTTCTTTGGAGAACCTGAATGGAAAGTTCGTTTGTTGTGAAAATTATAATACTGTTTGATGCAAATGGATCGTACTAAAAGGCAACCTGATCTCTTTTGACAAATGCAAACTCCTGAGGGTTTTGATGAAAGGAAAACTGAGGCCCGTCACAGCCACATTATCATTTGTAAGGCCAAGCAGACGTTACCTGTGATTGTAACATTATGCATTCTGCATTAGTTTTCCTTTTAACCTGTTGATGATTACAAGAGTCTGGTGCTGGCTGGCTCATTTGATGAGTTATTCGTTACAATAAAAAGAGGTTATCATGTTTTTAGACTGCAAGTGGGCTTCCGTCAATCGAAGATTCGAGCAAGTAAAGTCGTTTTTTAAATGGAAAAAATTACGGAAATTACATAAAATGCATTCTTTGCAGTACCATTCCCCCCATTTTGTACATATTGCTTCACTTATATTGATTCCTAGGAGAACTGGTAAAATTTTTGAGGTTGTGGTTTTACATTATAGAAAGAACATTTAGAGTAGAGCTTTGATGAGATGCTTAAAAAAAAGAACCAAGATTAAAATTTTTAAACTATATAGCGGAAGATTAATTACAATTTTTATTATGACTTTATGTTTACGTCAATTGTATATAACTATATATAACTGTATCTACTATATTAACTTGAAGGATTTAGAAAATGTCAGCAGTAGGTCTAAGAAATTGTCTTAATTGTGCCTTGCTGATATGTGATTGCTCACAAAACTCATGACTTTGATGTGTGAATATGAAACCAACTTGATGGATTCCAAATGTATGTAAACCTATAGATGAGTTTGTCAGATTGTTAATGCTATCGTCTAAAAGGGAGTATGTTTTCTTTTTTATCTGGCAATTTTGAGAATACTTAGGATTTACAGGTGTTGGTAGTGTTCTGATTTAGGGTTTTAGAAGTTAATTTTCCACCGGGTCTTTCTTGGGTGAGGGTTTGAGTACTGTGTAGGATTTAGCAAGGCGCCATACGGAGTTCCGGTTCAGTGACATGCTCTGTGGCACGAGGAATGCCAACCACGTTTCCATCTCAGCTTGAGAAAACCACAGTCCCACTCTTCCTGCTTCCCTAGGTTAGAAAAGCCATTTTTTTACTAAGCATTTTTCTTTGCTCTTTGTTTGTTGTCATTGCTGTTACTTATTGTCCATTCAAGTCCATCTCTCAGTGACCTACTGTGGGCAGAGTAGAACCACTCCATGGGATTTTCAAGCTAACGACCTTTCAGAAGGAGATCACCTGGCCTGGCCGCTGCAGTGCTGCTGAGTGGGCTCAGACAGTCAACCTTTTGCCTCCTGGTCTCATACTTGACTGTTTGTGCAACTCAGAAGTCACCCTAATTTATAGGAGAGCATTTTGATCAGCTTGGAGGCAATGAGTGATTTGGTTGGTTGGAAAAGATAAACGCATGAATTGAGAGATCGGTTTGAAGCAGGTTGAGATTTCTGCTTCCTCGTAGATGATGAAGAGTGAAGGGTGCTGGGGTCCTGGGAATTCTGCAGGGGACTCAGGAGGGGAAAGTTGGACCATTCAAAGGAGGCTCATAGAAGGTCCCTGACTGCAGATGTTGGAGTCACATAGTCCACGATCATGATCTAAATGGCAGGACTCATTTCATGTTGTTACTGTTGTTGATTGGTGCCATCAAGTCAAGTACGACTCATAGAGACTCTGAACAATAGATCTGAACTTGCCTTGTCCTGTACAATCCTCACAATCTCTGAAAGGCTTGAGCCCGTCGGGACAACCACTGTGCCCATCTGTGTTGAGAGTCGTCTTGTTCTCTGACCTTCCACTTTTCCAAGCCTTTTCCGTGTCTTTTTCCAAGGACAGCTCCTCCTGACAACATATCCAAAGTATGAGAGATGAAGTTTCACCATCCTTGTCTCTCAGGAGCTCCCTGGTTGCACTTCTTCAAGACATACTTGTTTATTCCTCTGGTAGTCTGAGGGATAATCACCACTCTTCCCAACAACACAATTGAAAGGATTTGATTCTTCTTCTGTCTTCTTTGTTCATTGTCCAACTTTCAGAAGCGTAGGAAAGACTTGAAAAGAGAGTGGCTGAGTCAGGAACGCTCGGCTTAGAGAGGGACCGTATCGAAGGACACGGTTCATGGAAAGGGATGAGTGTGGGGATTACGGTTAGTTTAGAAATCTTTCTGGGGATTGAAACTCATGTTGGCCCATGTTCCCTTTCCATTAATTTCCTAACCGTGGGGGCCGGTGGGCAGACATTCATCTCCAGGACGCGGACCACAGGTACCTGTTTCACTGTACATTGTAACTCACACCGTAACATTGACTTAAGGGACTCTGTCTCCTCAGTTATCATCATCATCCCCACCCTGGCGATGAGGAGCTGCTAAGAGCGCTGCTTTGGAATCCGTTTCTCGCCTTTGTTGTTACCACCAGGCGTCATCGCGCTAGTTGTGTTCTTAGTGACCGAGCGAGCATACAGCAGGGAAGACCTGCCTGGAGCTGCAGTGTCCACATTTGTCACTAGAGGTTTGAACCCGTTGTGCAGCAATGTTGTCAGTTAATCTCTTTGAGGGTCTTCCATTTTTGACCCTCTACTGAGCATGATGTTCTTCCAGGACCCTCCTAATAACATACCTGAAGTGGAAGAGGTAGAGTCTCTACATTCTCGATTTAAAGGAATATTCTCATACTTCTCGGACAGATTTGCCTGTTCTTTTGGAAGCTCATGGTTTACTCAACATTATTTATCAAGACTATAATTCAGAGGCATCAGTTCTTTAGTTTTCCATTTTCATGGTCCACCTTTCACATACATCCGAATCGTAACTAGCTCATAGCCGACCCTCCAGTGGGTTTTCAGGGGCTACAGGTTGCATGACAGAGGTTGTCCATCCTTATCCTGTGGTGCCCCTGGTGGATTTGAACCGCCAGTGAGCTTTGACTTGGGGTTGGCAGTGCAACTCCCTGCAAGACTTAAGTCATCGGCACGCCCTTCCATGTGCAGAGGAGGCCATTAAAAAGATTGAGACTTGGGTCAGGTGCATCCTAATCCTCATCTTCGTATCTTGCTTGCACTATACTGTGGATGAAATCCTCACCTTTCTCCAATTTGTCTCACTGAGAATTCCTTGGACTGTTTTGCCACACGTTGGTCCGAAAGCAGAAGTTTGTAAGCGGTAGTTGGGTGATCAGTAGAAGACTGCCTGTGGGGTGTGGAATTCTATGCTTTAACATTGAGCCACTTCTATTTTTAACAGCAGGCACCAAGTTCAGGTGCTTGATTCTCCTTTGTGTGGGTTCTTTTTAGCAATTTGTTCTTAATCCTAAATGGTGAGGATTCAGGTCCTCCCTTTGGTCCCAGTTTCCTTGCTTAAAGGTCAATTCACTTGACTGACTGACTAATTTGAGTAGCTCTTACCACTGTTCTAACACCTGATTCCCTTTTATTTGTCCTCTTTATTAAGAAAACAAGTCCTTTAATTACAGTCTCCGTAGTCGCGAGTAGCTGCATTGGGGCATGTTGGTTTATAAGAAATAGCCAAGCAAAGGGAAAGTGTGGAGATGGTGGAAAGGACCGAAGCCAGAGATGATTGCTCCGAAATGTCCTTCGGGGGGTTCGCCTTGGTCCCGTGCACATTCTGATGATTCCTCAATCTGTAGGTCACCGAGTTATTTTGGATACTCAGGACTCGGGTCTCGAATGCTGTGATGAGTCACCTTAAATTATAGTCTTACATGAAAAATGCTTGTGGGAAGGACCAGTATCCAGGGGGAAGCCAGCTATTCAGCTTGAGAGATCTTTGATAGCAAGGAGCAGGGTGAGACTTCAAGAACAGCCACAAGGTGGAGAAGACAGACGTGGGAGGAGTTCCCGAGCGGGACCAAGAGGGGAACTTGTCTGTCTGTGTGGACAGAGCTGGCTCTGGGTCACGTGGGTTCCTCACCAGCATTCCCTCCTGCTTTGCAGAGGGAGATGCATCAAAAAATCACTGAAAGCATCAAGAGTCACCCAATCCAAAACAATTTGACAACAAAAGCATGTTAGTACTCTGGAATGGGATAAATCAAATTCACCATCATAGCCGTTCTATCAGGAGAGAAGAAGTGTGGCCCATTTGAAGAGGCCAGGGTGCAGGCATGGTGGGAATGAGTTCTCTGTGGTGAGCTTGGTGTTATCTGGAATGCTTCAGTGTTTTTGATGGATTTTGTGTTTTTTATGATACATTTAAAATACAGACCAAAAGGTGAACATTCTATAGTTGTGACTTTTTAAATAAATCTTTTGAAAGGGAGCTATCATTTCCTATGTCACACACAGTTTTGCACTCTGAGAATGTCTTTTAAGTGAAGAACTCTTGCATTTGACTATCTCAACTCAATTTTCTTTGCCACCTTAAAGCATAAACAAGTAATCAGCTCTCTCTGCTCTCCTGTCAGTTCAGGTTACCGACTCTTGGGACAGGTAATCCTTCATATGTTGTGTGCTTTATTTCCTGATGGAGACATTTTCTTCCGTAGATGGAGACAGTATGACTATGCAGTCTTTCTCTTTGAATAATATTTCCCCCGTTTGTTTTGGGATACTCATACTTGACTGAGAAAATGAAAATTAAGGAATATGTCTAAAATTACCATATGGAAGTTGGATGAGACACAGACCTTGAATGACTAGAGTTGTTCAGCAGGTTGATAGCTTTATGATGCTTTGTCCAGAATTCTTCCTTTCAGTGGAAGGAGTTCAAAGTGTTTTAGGAATGAAAGTTCTGCCTGGTTCACTGCCTCCTCCAACGCCGTGCTGATGCTCTTCAGAGGCAAGGGCTACACCGTGGTCAGCAGTTAGAATGGAGAGTTTGACAGAAATGTCCATGCATAGAAAATGCAGTGGGCTCTTGAGGATAAAATTTTGTTGTGACATTAATATTATTTAAAAGTGGTACAGAGAAATGTTCCCCTCAGAGATAGGAATGCATGTGTGAGTATTAAAGATTTAGAACATTTCCAGTTTTTTATGCAGCTAAAAAGTGCTTGGAAAAGAAAGATGATGCATATACTTAAATATTATATATCCTTAAATATATGCATGCATAATTATACACACACATATTGTTGTTGTTGTGAAGCTTCAAGTCAGAACTGACCATAGCTGACCCTCCAGTAGGTTTTCAGAGGCAGTAATCACATAGGAGAAGATTTCCCATGGTTCTCCCATGGAGCAGCTGGTGGATTTGAACTGCATATCTTCTCATTGGCAGCATAATTTCTTACCACTAAGCTACCAAGTTCCCTAAATATGTGTGTATAATTACACACAGACACACACGCACACACACACGCACACACACACCCTTCATGTATGAAAAAAAATCTAAAATTTCGGTGTCGTTTGGACACATATTCATCCTGCACGTAAATGTTGGGCAATTAATAAGTCGAACCAAAGAACAGTTGATGGTTTTTAAATTTTGGTCTTGTCAGAGAATATTGACTATTTCATGGACTCCCCAAAAAAACAAACAAACCAATCTGTCTGGAAGGAAGTGTAGCCCAAGTGCCCTTTGAAGGCAAGAATGGTGAGACTTCTTCTCACATACTTGGGGCATGTTATCAGGAGGGATCGGTCCCTGGAGAAAGACACCATATTGAGCAAAGATAGAGGACAACCAGCCAGAAGACGGCCTTCGAGGAGGAGGGCTCCCACGGCAGTGACAGCCACAGTGGCCCAGCACAGCAGAGCTTGTCAGGTGGCCCAGGACCGAGCGGGCGGCACTGCCACACAGGGATTGTCGTGAGGTGGGGTAGCGCCTCGTAACAACAAAGTTTAAATGGGAATTTTACTAGGGATAAGGAATAGAAGGTTTTACTATCGAAAGTTAAAATAAACACTTTGTTTAAGTACTTTCTTTTTCACTTAGGAAAGGTTGAGTATATTTAGGTCAGATGTATGTTTTGCTCTTCTCCTTATTATAAATAACCTATATACTCCAAATATTCTAATCTCACCCTGAGTGAAAGCTGACAAATGAAAAACTTAAAGCTGGAAATTACATCATCTAGAGGCATATTTTTTAGGAAATAAAATTAAAATCTTGAGGCTCACAACAGAGACAGGCTTCTCAATGTGTAATAGATACCGATTGTATTGATGTGATTTCCCCCTTACTCTTCTATCTCTCGTCTTGGTTGATCTGAGTGTCATAATAAAGGACTTAAGGTGACAAGACGAGGAGAGAAGAGAAAGGGAGAGAAAATGCTGTGCAGTTAGGTAGGTGTTTGGGAGAGAAGTTGAGAGTGGGAGAGAGAATTTCCAGGATTAGCGCCCATCTGTGCAGAGAATCTAGAGAGAAGTAGCAAAGGAGAAGAAGATTTTTAAGTAGTCTTCTGAGAAGAGAGAAGGCTTGCTTTCTTAATCCTGTTTCCCAGAGCGAAGAAGTCAGGTGTGCCTACATTTCACTTGTGGTCAGTTGTTTTTCTCTGGATGTGGTACAGCTGCATCTGGATGATGGCAGTCCTGGATAAATTCCCATCATCGATGCACTTTGTAGTTCTGAAAAAGGCTAACCTCTTTCAGCCATTTCAAGTTAGAGATGAAGAAAGCAGAGGTCTAGAGAACGTGGGTTTTGGCTTCAGGGAGTCCACGTGGGAGGTCACGGTCTCCTTCTGCAAATTAAGCTACTGTTTGTTAGTTACATAACCTCTGTGCTGACACACCTACAAAGGGTTGAGATTATGGCTCTAATTACATCACATATTGAAAGTACTTCGAGCAGAGTTATATTAAGGAATTCAATTAAGGGGTAATACTATATCACCCACATTTTGCCATTAACTGGTGCATGAATTTAAAACTCCATCCTCCCCTGTTACCTGGGATGTCTTAGCTCGCAGCTGCTAAGGAAGCAAACACTCTTCTCCCTTCCTCACACTCCACGAGAAGCTGTGCCTTCGGAGCCCTTCGGAGCCCTGTGCTCAGCCATTCCCTCTTCTGAAATAGTAGTAGTTGTGGTGCGGTGTCGGCTGTACGAGTGCTGCTCTCAGAGCCTGAGCCCAGTGGCTGGTGTGCCACGGACACTGCTGTCCCTTCCTTCCAGATCGACCTCAGCTTGGCTTGCTCCCAGCACAGCTGTCGCGCTGGCTCACTCTTCTCCTGGCAGGTGTTCTGGTCCAGCCCACCTCTCTCCAGGGCTGCTGTGGACGGCTGTGAGGATGGAGGGCACTTAGTGCGACGGTGAAGAGGCTGAGGGCCTGGGCACACTCAGGGCCCCAGAGGGGCTCCCGGGAGTAGACTGCAGTGTTGACCAGCTTCTGTGAAGGTGCCATCTGGACATGGGCTGGCCTTGGCCACTTGTGCTTGTCATCATGGTAGGCCCAGCATCCCTGGCCACGATCCACCCTCCCTGTGGGAATTATCCTGGAAGGATGTGGTGCTGTTTGAAACAGAAGAAGAAAAAAAGAAGGGTGCAGGTGAGGGAGGGAGCGGAAGGAAGGGAGCAGCCCGTCGCCTCTGGGTTTCGTTTCTCGAGACTCCTTGGGAGTCACTGGGCTCCTTGGGAGAATGTTCTTC